TGAGTAAGCTACTGATTAGAACTAAACCTGATGCATGAATTTAAATAGTAGAGGGTATTTATTGATATATAATTGGTTGTAAGCACAAAATCTACCTACGCTATTTATCAGTCAGAAGACATCCAAACGAAACTGGCCCTAGGCTATTACAGATTACAGATGATTTAAAAAAGAAGTATAATGATGTTTTTGTAATAACTATCGTGAGACATACTAAATTAACTAAAATCGCGTGGGCGGTCGCGGCGATGTCTGTGATGATGTGAGCTGCGCGACATGGCCGCGACCGCGCACGCTGCTCATGAGGAGGACCCCCTCTGTGGTTCGATACTAGTAGAGCTTTTGTCAGTATACTCACGTGAGTAACCCGCGATTTTACTTAATTAAGTATAATGATGTCTGCGTCTGGGAAAGCGTCCTGATAAAGGCACTATTAGGTTAAGTGTCTTATTACGTAACATGACTAGCAAAAATCGAATACTTCCGTATCATATTGATAATATAATTTGTTCGGGTAATAAAGGAAGAAGAAGGATATGTGTTAAAAGTAGTAGGTACTAATATTGCAGGAAAAAAAACTATGAAATTAGTAAAAATGTTTATTTACAAAATACAAAAGAATAAACCAAAACTAATCTTAGGGTATGTATTGCTACTTAAACTGAAGCACCCATATGTTCCTTTACTCTACATGAAGCCGCACCAATAAAAAATAGGTACATAAAATTCTCATCTTCATCTTCACTTCTTCCAATAACCTTTTTTAAATTTTTTTTATATATAAATACTATATCTTTTCACTGTCAAATAATACTCTTCTAATACGTACTTCATCTTATACTTTATTATATGTATAAAACTGAAAAGTTTATTTGTTTGTTTGTTTGATTTATTGAACGTGCTAATCTCAAGAATTATTATTCCGATTTGAAAAACATAATTTTGTCTCGATAATCCATTTATCGAGGAAAGCAATATCACGCTACGATCAATAGAGTATAATTCTAGTTTTAATCTTATAAATAGGAAGATAAAGCAGTCTTGTTTTACAATTCAGAGTGAGGTTTGGGAGGCGGTGTTGGTGGTGGTACAGGCTCCCGGTAGTATCTCTGGTAGATGTCATCCCAAAAGCGTGTACGTTCTTCTAACAGTACACCACGCAGCTCTATCTTCTGATCCAGCGACATGTGGGGTGACCTGTCAGCCCCGGCAGCGGGCCACGCAGGCAGCGATGAGCCTTCAGGAACAGGTTTTCTGAAAATAGCGATATAATAATTATACCTGGATGACATGATAATTTAAAATTTTTGTTATGATGCAAGTAAAATATAGTTTCAGTAATCTGGACATTCAATTAACACAACTTAGCATATTAGTCATCAAACATATTAGGACATTCGAAAACGAATACAAAACTCAGCAAGGACAACTAAATAATAAACATCAAACTATGTACCTGTAATACTTAGACAGAAAGTAGTACTGAACGTACAGTATTTAGAATATTCACTGTTAATATTGATGTCTAAACACTCGTCTATATCTTCAAAAAATTATAACAATCAATACTGACTCACAGATTTTATGTCTAATTTGTACTTATTTAACGAGTAATATTGATTTTTACATACCCAGTTTTAATAAAGTTGTACCAAATATCTCGCATTGTTTTCTTCATTTTCTGGAACTCTGGAGTCGCCAAGGATTCATCTTTATGTGTCATATTTTTACCATCCATTATGGCCATCGACTGAGCGCAATGGTTGGCACCTCTTATCTTAGTGTGTGGTACCTCAGGAACATCTTCGTCAACAAATGAGTATTCATACAAATAAATTTGATTGTTGCCTGCCTCTGCGTGCAATTTAGTTGCCCAAAGCATTGGATATGCAAAAATGACATCCGAAAAGAAATTGACGTATTCCAAAATATTGCCTTCATTAACGGGTTCATCACCAAAATAAAATCTCTTAATTTTGTTGGCTACTTCTTCCCTTTCCTCTTCAGATTTAAATTTAAGATCAGCGGGCAGGAAATCAGAAAATTTATCATTCATCTTTTGCTTCCAAAATGGAAAGAAATCGACACGTAGCAGTCCCTCCATTTCTGCAAATCCATACAATACTGGTAACTTCTTGTAGTTGCCGTTCTTTAATATGGTCAGTGGAGATTCTGTCAGGAACGTCTCTTGTCCCATATTGCGCTCCACACACGGAGAGAACAAGAAAGTAGAATCAGTCCTATCAAAAAATGGATCTGATGTCAATAATTCTAAAGGAGCCGTCTTGTAGAACTCTCCAAGAGCATAAATATCATCTACGTTAGTAAAGTTAAGTTGTCTAGCGAATGTTTTGGCAACCTCTACAGGGTCTCTTTGAATTGAAAATGCGGCTAGGTTACCACCACTTTCTGGTACAACTCTGTGGAACAATCCTTCAGCTGATTTAGACAGCATTAGCAGGTCCACTGATGCGGATCCCGCACTATAACCTATGATCGTGACATCATCTGGGTTGCCACCAAAGCTGCCAATATTCTTTTGTACCCAACGCAGCAATGCTACTTGGTCCTTCATTCCAGCATTGCCTGGCGCATCTTCAGTACCGAGACAGAGGAAGCCGTGAACACCCAGTCGATAGTTGAACGTAACAACAATAATATCTTTTTTGTTCATTAACTGTGTTGCTCTAAACATTTCTCCCCATCCCATAATGAAAGCTCCTCCATGAACATACACTACGACGGAAAGATTCTTCTTATTTGTGTTTGGCACATATACATTAGCAATCAAACAACTTTCTTGTTGCACGAGGGTACTTGGCTGGAGATCATTAAATGGGAATATAGGTTGAGGGCAAACCACTTGTTTGTCAATGGCGTCATATGGTTGCAACCACACTGGTGGGTGGAGAGGTGCCTGGAAAAAGGATGACATATACAATACATGTGTGAACTTTACTGATCCCGGCTTACAGAAGTTATAGTGGAAAAGAATGAATGTATAGGTGTGTAACCTCTAAAAACGATAAGTGTATTAGTTGACTAACCTACTAACCACTAACTATGTGAAAATACCCCTTTTGCAATCGATAATATTTAGGGATATAACATAACATAATATAACATCACGCCTTTTGTCTCTAAAGGGGTAGGCAGAGTTGTACGTTATGCTACTGTACAATGTAACACCCACTTTTCACTATTTATGTTATGAGTCCCATGTAATAGGGGGTGAGCCTATTGCTATATGTGAAATTTTGAAAAACCCAGTAAGTAATACTTTGCCCGACCCGGGAATCGAACCCGAGACCCCTTGCCCAGCAGTCGCACTTGCGACCAATCGGCTAATGAGACAGCAATTATGGATATCATCGATGGCAAAAGGGATAATTTTATTTCTTTAGGGATATTTTATATTCCTGCTTAGAACTAAGTACAAATTGTGTTACTCAAAGACGTTGTTTATCTTTCGTATCAAATACTTATCTTTAGCTGTTTAGGTGAGGTATATAAATAAACTTCTTCATTATTATCACTACCTTCAAAATTGATGGATAACGAATCGATAAATATAGGTCTGCAGCATACGTGCCGCGTAAATGTGTGTGGTCATTGCACGTAAACAAAATATTTATATCTGATATTATGTTACCACAGAGCGAGAACTTTGTCCATTTATATAAATCATAGATAAGAAGACAAGTAACATAACAGAAAGGTAGGTAGTACAATGTAACACCCACTTTTCAGTATTTATGTTATAAGTTCCGTGTAATAGGGGGTGAGCCTATCGCCATATACCGGGCACTATTCCAAACTCCGTGCTACTACTAAGAAAACAAGTCAAATTTAAAAATATTCGTATCTTGTTAGAAATAATAGAATAGTGTATATTTTGTCAATGTTATTATGGATCTAATTCTAGTGTTAAAACGATTATAATAATAAGTTACTTGTTTACTGGGTACTTTCCTTAATCAAAAGTAAATTATTTCGATTAGTCAATGGAATAAAATATAAAAAAATAATCACACATATATTAATTGATTTTATGACCAACTTAATTTTAGTATTTTCCCACCAATTTTTCAGAAATAAGTTGACGTAAAAAAGAGTTTGACGCTAAAAAACGTGACGTCACAATAGACAATTTCGTACAAAATTTATCGAATCGAAAAAAGTATTGAATTTTACTACTTGGCAACTAGCCAAAAAAGAAATAGAATAAATACCAAAAAATAAAGAAAGATTTGGAATATAGTTAAATATTTAATTATACTTTAAAAATAGCTTTATTGATGGCGAGCAAAATAAATTCCGTTTTTTTAATTCAACACGAAGTTAGGAATCCTCTCCATATAAAACTCAGTCACAAGTCTGTGTTTAACCTCGAGGATAACCTCAAAAACAGTTTATAAATAAAATAATTTTCATAAATAGGTTAAGTATGACATTAGTCTTCTTATATTATTTATTTTTTTAAATGTATACCCTTAGTTTGTGTGAAGTACTTCTATTAAACTTAATATTAAAATACAGATAATGCCTACCTTGAACTTGTCAACACCAACTGGTGCTGTGGCATAAGGTATATTATAGAATGTGTATATATCCTCTGTAGGGTGCTTGCGACCGCGCACAACCCCCTGTGAAGTTTTCACTTCCCGCCATTCGTCGTCAGCCAATATGGCCGTCACACACAACAGTAACACACACGTCTGCCACTGCATGGCTGCGTCTGCGGACTGAATTACTACTGATGTATATGTCTGTTCGGTGCTTGTTATATATTTTTAGTACGAGTTGATAGTGCTTTATATCGGTAAAATCGAATTTTCTCGATAGTTATAATTTTACGATAATACGTATGTAATTACTAACTGAGATAATAGAATTAAGTCATTAGATTAAAAGACTTTGAACTAAAACTAGTCATAATATAGCTATGTTACTGAAAACACAAAATACTTCGGCTTCGTTAAAATTCACACAATTTAGTTAAAAGGAAACCATTATGTTTGTACTTAGTTAACCTTTATTTTCTTATTAACTTGCTACCTGGAATTTTATTTTTATTTTATTCACAAGTATTATAATTCTGCGCGTGATTTCGGTGGCGGTGTTGGTGGTGGTATAGGCTCCCGGTAGTATCTCTGGTATATGTCATCCCAGAAGAGTGTACGTTCTTCTAGCAGTACACCACGCAGTTCTATCTTCTGACCCAACGACATGTGTGGTGATCTGTCGGCACCAGCAAGTGGCCATGCAGGCAGCGATGAGACTTCAGGAACAGGTTTTCTGAAAGAAACAATAATTCATTGTTATTTACCGTTGATCCACAGCAATAAATTATTTATTCCGAAGTTCTGGAAATCAAAAGCATGTTCTGGGAAACAGGGGGCACAAAAATTTAATAAAGAAAATGTATACGACATGTGTATGTTCGGCAGAATGTCTCTATTAATTGATTACAGAGATTTTTCAATATAGTGTACTGGCAATTTGTTTTTAATGTTATTACACGTTTCCAAATTAGACAAAAATAATATCATATTGACTAGAATAATGCGAAAATATATATAATTTACAAAACAAAACATTAGCCATAAAAATAATAAAGTTATACGAAGTGTTACATTTCACACACGCGTCCGTAACAATAATCCTTGCACCTGGAAGGTTCGACCGCAAGACTATTCTTTAAAAAAAGTAGTTATTTGTAATAATACATACCCAGTTTTAATAAAGTTGTACCAAATGTCTCGCATTGTCTTCTTCATTTTCTGATATTTGGGAGTTGCTAATGACTCATCTGTATGACTTTTATGGGTCAAATTTTTACCATCCAGTACGGCGAGTGACTGAGCACAGTGGGTAGCACCTCTTATGTTAGTGTGTGGTACCTCAGGAACATCTTCGTCAACAAATGAGTATTCATACAAATAAATTTGATTGTTGCCTGCTTCTACGTGCAATTTTGTTGCCCAGAGCATTGGGTGCATAAAAAGAACGTCCGAAAAGAAATTTACGTATTGTAAAATACTGTCTTCACTGACGGGTTCATCTCCAAAATAAAATCTCTTAACTTTATGAGCTACTTCTTCTCTTTCTTCTTCAGATTTGAATTTTAAATCAGCGGGCAGGAAATCAGAAAATTTATCATTCATCTTCTGCTTCCAAATTGAAAAGTAGTCCACACGTAGCAGTCCTTCCATCTCAGCGAAACCATACAATACTGGTAACTTCTTGTACTTGCCGTTCTTTAAAATAGTTAGTGGAGATTCTGTCAGGAACGTCTCTTGTCCCATATTGCGCTCCACACACGGAGAGAACAAGAAAGTAGAATCAGTCCTATCAAAAAATGGATCTGATGTCAATATTTCTAAAGGAGTCGTCTTGTAGAACTCGCCAAGAGCATAAATATCATCTACGTTAGTAAAGTTAAGTTGTCTAGCGAATGTTTTGGCAATCTCTACAGGATCTCTTTGAATTGCAAATGCAGCAAGGTTACCACCACTTTCTGGTACAACTCTGTGGAACAATCCTTCAGCTGATTTAGATAGCATTAGCAGGTCCACCGATGCGGATCCTGCACTATAACCTATGATCGTGACGTCATCTGGGTTTCCATTAAAGCTCCCAATATTTTTCTGCACCCAACGCAACAATGCTACTTGATCCTTCATTCCAGCATTGCCTGGTGCGTCTTCAGTACCAAGACAAAGGAAGCCGTGAACACCCAGTCGATAGTTAAACGTTACAACAATAATATCTTTTTTGTTCATCAACTGTGTTGCTCTAAACATGTCTCCCCATCCCATAATGAAAGCTCCTCCGTGAACATACACTACCACGGAAAGGTTCTTCTTATTTGTGTTTGGTACAAATACATTAGCAATCAGACAGTTTTCTTGTTTCACTAATTTATTCAGTTGAAGATCAGGAAATGGGAATACTGGTTGAGGACAAACCACTGGTTTCTCGACGGCATCGTATGGCTGCAACCACACTGGCGGGGGAAGGGGTGCCTGGAAAAATTATGACAGAATTAATTTAGTTATAACTTGTGAATTTGGTTGATGAAATTTTTGACGTGTACCTATATTCTGTTACGTGTGTATTTTTTTGGATGACTTGCTTTTTAGAACGACGCCACGGTGACCGAGTATTGTGAGATAGGTACATTTTTTTAATTCTACTGTTGAAAACACGTACCTACTTTAGTAAAACTCGTTTTTGTCAAGGACAAGGCAATTCACATTTTATATGAATAAGATGTGTGTGATATTTTATTGTTTATGTAACAGATATAGGTAAACAAACACCTCATTATTGTCATCGACTACAAAAAATGACATAGCAATACACCACTACGCGTGTTCCCGTAGATAAATGTGTTTAGTCATTGTAAATAATACGTTTGATCATGCTACCACAGGGCCATAACTTTGTTTATATATAAATCATATTTAGCTAAGACAAGTCTCAATTAAAAAAATGTAGTTATGTTGGTAATATATTTTTTGCTCAAAAAAAGTTATAAACAAAAAGTGGTTACAGCATATTTCTTGCCATTTACGTGCCTATGGCAAAGTTCATAGCTATTAATAAAAAAAATTAAAACCACTAGTAAAATCTAGTGGTGTTAAGCGCTTCATCCCGACGCGGACCTTGATCATCTCACGGGACACGTGGCGCAGGAGCCGGTCATCCAGCCGACTGCATCAACCAAGTCAAGTCATTTACCAATCGACTTCTTTATCAATTTGTTGTTTTCATACGAGGAAAGTAAGAAGACTTTTGAAAGTAAGAAGACAAAATTATGGACAATTATGGCCCGCCTTACAGGTAAGCGAACACCGTAGCCTATGTAGAATTGTAGACTTGCAAAGACTTGTATCAGGAATGCGTTACGGACCATGACACTGTTTAGTTGTGTTATCACCATATTTAGGTCTCACAGTCAGATGAGATATTTAAAGACTTTCTGAGACTGTATGTAAATGCATTTCGTTCAGAACCAATAAAATAATGTTTAATATTTTTATTTAACTAATAGTATGTATGTTTCATTAGTAAGTAATTTTGAAGTTATATATTTGTAAGAAACTTTTGAAAAGTCTGTTTTAAAGTGTAAATAGAGCAGTACCTTGAACCTATCGACGCCGACAGGTGCTGTTGCGTAAGGTATATTGAAAAATGTGTATATATCCTCCGTAGGGTGCTTGCGCCCGCGCACAGGGCCTTGCGCAGTTTTCACTTCCCGCCATTCGTCGTCCGCCAATATGGCCGTCACACACAACAGTAACACACACGTCTGCCACTGCATGGCTGCGTATGGTGACTAGTGGTGACTGAGTTGCTACTAATCTTATATGGCTGTAGGAGGTTGTTTTATATTATTTGTATGAGCCGACATGTCTTTAATCGATAGAATAGATTTTTGTTATAGTGATTACTGATTACATTAGGATCTACTTACCTAATTTAAGTAATTATTTACTGAGATACTGACTTTATTCAGAGGCTAATGAGCTATTGGATGATTTAGAGCCTATTTTAACTGAGGGATTGCTTTGAATATTTGAAAATTCTTCCGTACTAGAAACTGTCATATGTCAATTTTATTCAACAGTTAAGAATTAAATGATGATTGAGAAATTGGCCTTAAAATTATCATTAACTAGTTTTGCCCGCGACTTCATACGCGCAATCCCGTTTTCTCCCGTTCCCGCAGAATTTTCAGGACTTTTTGTCCTAGGAACCAGAAAATTCCGTAAGGTAGGTTGAGGAAAGAAGAATTAGGAGAACCTAATAATAATAAATACAACAAAAAAAGAAATAGTGAAATCGGTGCAGCCATTTACGTGTGATGCCGTGACTAAGGGAAAAAGGGATTCATTTGCATATAGATAATATAAAATGAGTAATTGAACTGAACAATATTGGCTGTATAGTTTTACGTTTGGTAAGCAGAATCGTTAATTAGTTGAGTGGTCAAAGGTGTGTCAATCAATGTAAGGTACAGTACCAATTATTTGAACTTCCGGTTATCCGGACTTACGTCATCGCTCCAACGATTTAATAATTATGTATTGCTCAACTAGACAAGTAGAGACCAGTTTCAACATGTCTTCAACTATTTATTTCGAATCTCATTAGTTTTTATGGTAGTGTTTGTAATTGTTTAATCTATACTAATATTTTGGAGAAGAATATGCTCTGAAAGTACTGGATCCATTTGAATATTGTTTCACCATTAACGGCATTAACCAAATCTTTCCACTTTTTTATCCCGAGACAACGTAAAGATCCTTTCTTTTAAAAGTACCTTGTCAACTCCACGCAGATAATAAATTAAAAAAATCAAGAAAACAAACAAAACACACAATCAATTTTTGTTTCGAATTTCAGGTTAGACAAATATGCAATAGGATAGACACCTAATTTTTATTTTAATGTCCGTCTGGTATATTATAAAAAACATTATACACGTATTTTTATTTTCTTACGGAAACAAATAGTTTCTAAAATATATTGATTCGAAATATAGAATGACGTCACTTTTGATACGACTTATATTCTAAAATGACGTAGCTACTTCCCACTCCTAAACTTTGATTTGTTGTATCTAAGAATTGTTTTCAAATTAAAAAATACATGTCTGTTATTTTTTCATTATCTATCTGACGGACTAATTTGATTGTTACTGTCATCATGCCTATTATATTAATTCTAATAATTCTTTATTCATAATTCAAAAGTGCAAATTACAAAAATTTATCGAAGGTAATCTCACAAAGTGAGATGCCTGCACTACGGCAATCGTGTATCGCAGGCGAGAGGAGGTCTTTTTTTAAGGGGGGAAAATCATAGAATGACTGCTCCCGCCTGGGTAAGGTGGGAGGGAGTGTCAGACTCTTACTGACTAAAAACCACCCCGTTCCTTCTCCGGCACGAGCCGGAGCCCCGGTTATCCGTTAGGTTCTCCGCGACTCTGATATAATTCTTATTTGTATCAACACAAACCGACTATGCTTTAGAAAATAACCACATAAATGAAGTAATAAATTAAATATACATTTATTAGCGCATTATTACGTTTACTGCCTCCATTTTAATATTAGGCATTAGAAGAATTGTGAGGTTACAGAGTGGTTTTATAATTCAGAGCGTGACTTGGGTGGAGTTGTTGGTGGTGGTACAGGCTCCCGGTAGTATCTCTGGTAAATGTCTTCCCAGAAGCGTGTGCGTTCTTGCAGCAGTACGCCACGCAGCTCTATCTTCTGACCCAGCGACATATGGGGTGACCTGTCAGCACCGACAGCCGGCCACGCAGGTAGCGATGATCCTTCAGGTACAGGTTTTCTGAAATATACGGTATATATATTGTTTGTAATATATATCTTACCCCTTCAGGGAGGGGCGTGATGTTATGTACGTAAATCATTGGTGTACTACCGCTTAAACTGTTACAAAATTAATTACTTGGGGGATTCAAATACTTAAAGAATTAAGCTGGTAGTTACATAGACTAGGTTTTACTAGGAATGTTTATACGACGAGTCTTTTAAGCAAGTACTCGCAATAATTTTGTATTATCTACCAAGAAGTAAAATGCTTACCCAGTTTTAATAAAATTATACCAAATTTCTCGCACTGTTTTCTTCATTTTCTGATATTCAGGGGTCGCCAATGCCTCATCTGTATGACTTAAATGTGTTAAATTTTTACCATCCATTACAGCGAACGTCTGGGCGCAGTGATTAGCACCTCTTATGTTAGTGTGTGGTACCTCAGGAACATCTTCGTCAACAAATGAGTATTCATACAAATAAATTTGATTGTTGCCTGCCTCTACGTGCAATTTTGTTGCCCAAAGCATTGGGAATGCAAAAAAAACATCCGTAAAGAAATTCACATATTCTAAAACATTCTCTTCACTAACGGGTCCATCTCCAAAAAAGAATCGCTTAATTTTATTGGCTACTTCATCCCTTTCTTCTTCAGACTTAAATTTAAGGTCAGCTGGCAGGAAATCAGAAAATTTATCATTCATTTTTTGCTTCCAGAATGGAAAGAAATCAATACGAAACAGTCCTTCCATTTCTGCAAATCCATACAATACTGGTAACTTCTTGTAGTTGCCGTTCTTTAATATGGTTAGTGGAGATTCTGTCAGGAACGTCTCTTGTCCCATATTGCGCTCCACACACGGAGAGAACAAGAAAGTAGAATCAGTCCTATCAAAGAATGGATCTGAAATCAACAATTCTAAAGGAGCCGTCTTGTAGAACTCTCCAAGAGCATAAATATCATCTACGTTAGTAAAGTTAAGTTGTCTAGCGAATGTTTTGGCAACCTCTACAGGGTCTCTTTGAATTGAAAATGCAGCTAGGTTTCCACCACTTTCTGGTACAACTCTGTGGAACAATCCTTCAGCTGATTTAGAGAGCATTAGCAGGTCCACTGATGCGGATCCTGCACTATAGCCTATGATTGTGACGTCCTCTGGATTTCCACCAAAGCTCGCGATATTCTTTTGCACCCAACGTAACAATGCTACTTGGTCCTTCATTCCTGCATTGCCTGGCGCATCTTCAGTACCGAGACAAAGGAAGCCGTGAACACCCAGTCGATAGTTGAATGTGACGATAATTATATCTTTTGTTTTTAATAACTGCGTGCCTTTAAACATTTCTCCCCATCCCATTACGAAAGCTCCTCCGTGAACATACACTACCACGGAAAGATTCTTCTTATTTGTGTTTGGCACATATACATTAGCAATTAGACAATTTTCTTGTTGCAGTAAGGTTCTTGGTTGGAGACCAGCAAATTCTAATGTAGGTTGAGGGCACACTACTTGCTTGTCAATGGCGTCATATGGCTCCAACCATATCGGCGGAGGAAGGGGTGCCTGGAAAAAGATACTTAATAAAATTATGTTTCCTAGAGATAAATAAAGCAATCAAGTAATTATCCTACTTGCTTATGAACAGATGTATCTACTTTGAGATTATGTTTGCATGAGTTGCTTTTTTAGACGATTACGTGTGTATTGTAATTGTAGCGTTCAATTGTGCAATGAGTACCTATATTTTTTACCCGACTATAGCGATGCTATAAGGCGGTTTATTTTGACCGGTCTGTATGTATGTTCACCTGTTCATTAAGAGCGTCTTATTAGTCAGCTGGCTACATAAAATTATATGAAATTTTTATGCGGCGTCCACTAGAGGCGAAAACATTGTGATTAAAAAAAGTTTGATTTTATCAGACAAACTTACTACAGTAATAAGAATATTTCAAATATGTATATTGTATACTTTAACTCGCCTTCATGAACAGGATGAATGAAAAAAAAGTTGAACATTTTATTAAACATTATTTTTAGTAGTAGAGCGAACCTTGTTACTTAGTCAAAGTAACTAAAAATATATGTAGGTATTACGACAAAAATTATGAAAACCCTATTTTTCGTACCTATACCCCAAAAAATAGAAATAAAAAATAAGTTACATAAGTAAAACCTGACTACGATAAACAGGCTTTAAAACCATTATCAAACAAGGAAAGAGGATAGCCGTGGTCGTATGTTATATTATTATTAATTATGTTGTTGTACTGTGAAGCAATGTGGCATACAACCACGGCTATCCTCTAAGAACATTTTTATATATATATAATTTTTAAATATATTTCAATTTTAAAAATTTTATACTTTTTAGAGCGTGCGTTTTTCGTAGTATGGTTTTAGTTTTTTAACTATTTTTGTATTAAATATTGATTAAATTAGTTTAGTAAGTAAAACTGTGACTTTATGGAAAACGTAAAGTTTAAAGTACAGATGAAGAGCCCTTGTTATGATAAACATATTACGACCAAAAGTTTAGTACAATATTAGTATTCCTCAAGGACGTTTACTTCATTGTTATCACCAACCCCCAAAGACGGATAACGAACAAAACTGATATAGCGATGCATAACTTGTGTGTGAAGGTGTTTAGTCTATGTAAACAACATTAATTATAGATATCTCATATTACATTACTGCAGAGGTAAAGCTTTGTTCACAGATTATTATAAATCGTAATAAATTATAAATATTCAATTAAAATGTGTTTTTTTTTTATTAAATAAACAAAAAAAGCAATATATTTGCATTGTGTAAACTAGCTTATATTACACAAATTATTGTATTGTATACTGTCTAGCTATTGCGAGCTTCTTTCTTTTCGATGATATCTAGTTGACTATGGTATACCCAAAAATTGCTATAATATAATAATTATAGAGGTATAGTTTAGTGGTATCATGCACGATGAATAATTTCTCTCTAGTAGGTGAGACAATTTCTTTATTTAAAATACATATATGAAAGTTTTTTATTGGCAACGTATTATTATAATGCATAAATAATATTTACCTTGAACTTATCGACACCGACAGGAGCTGTGGCGTAAGGTATATTGTAAAATGTATATATATCCTCAGTGGGGTGCTTGCGCCCGCGCACAGGCCCTTGCGCAGTTTTCACTTCCCGCCACTCGTCGTCCGCCAATATGGCCGTCACACACAACAGTAACACACACGTCTGCCACTGCATGGCTGTGTCTGCTCACTGAATTACTACTGATCGATATATCTATGTTGGGCCTGTTATATATGTTTTATTTACATGAGCTGATATACATTTACCGATAACTGTTTCTTGATAGTGAGATTGTTACCTACTCATGCATATATATATGTATGTATATACAAAAATAAAAGATACTGAAATTGCATAGTCAGTGGATTAAAAGATTAATTTGACTTGGTAACTAAAATAGGTAATATTGACTGTTTAATTAATTTAGAATGTGTCTGCACAAAATTTTTCATTTTTCTTTAGAATAGCTAATGGGTTTGAACCTTGGTATTTTTAATTTATATTACTTAAATCTATACTAATATTAGAGGTATAAAGAGGAAAGATATGTACCTATTTTTGTATGTTTGTAATGAATAGGGTCAAAAAGTACAGGGCCGATTTAAAAAATTGTTTCACCAATAGAATGCTACATTCTTCCAATTTGACACAGGCTACATTTCATTTTGAAAAAAATTGGGGATCCTTGGTAAAATTTGAATAATGTAACCGAAGGTGTAGAAAAATTAGTCTTAAAATGTCTTTCGTCGAATGCGCTGCCGAAACTATTTAGCGATAGAACAAAATGATGTAGAACAATATTGAAGAACATCATAATGTCTACCTCTATTGTAGTTATGTCTCTACAACAATCCAAATTTCCAAAAATAAATAATTGTCTACCGCGTGCGAAACCGGGACAGGCTGCTAGTCTCTAATATATCTATTATACCTACCTTGGTTTACCCTTGCTTTATATTATATTATATTTTTTAATTATATTAAGTGTGTTCCACGCAAGGTTTTCTTTCTTCTTATTTGTTTCTTTCTAAATTATCTATCCTTTGTTTCTTACATGCATACAAAATTTGCATGCTTTTGCTCACTGTATTTATGTACTTTACACGTGTACGCGTATGTGACACTTTGAACATTGTACAGAAAAGAAGAATCGTCTATGAGTTTATTACCATGTATATTGCAATTGATGAGCTGGGATTATCCTGTTATGTAATGGCTACCTGAGCTGATATACACAGAACTGATGAAAGCTCAATAGTCTGCTTGGTGATCGTCCATGATTTAAGACTGGACACGTCTTCTAGTCTTCACGTGTAAGAGTCATGCTTCGGCACGAATGGACTACGACCTCATAGAACACCATTTCTTCTCCAATTCTTAAATCCTCAAAAGGACAGCAACTCCCTTCTCACCTAACCTAAACTACTTCCTCTAGTGTTGACGGTATGCATGGGTGACATCGATTTATTACCATTAAGAGATTCGTGTGCTCACTTGCATCGCGTCTCATACTCATAGTCCTCTTGTCTAAGTGTGCTGCGGAGCCTTTGAGTCTTTTATTTTAAAGAGTAAATCATCCAATGACTTCTCAAGCCCGCGTGAGGCGAGAGGGAGTATCAGTACTCCTGCACTTCGAGCCGAAGCCCCGGCAACGCGTTAAGTTCTCCGCAGCTCAGGATTGGCATCAGCCCTATTGGGGCCGCACGCTCGGGTTTGGCTCTGGTCAGGTGGCGATCACCCGTGCTCGCCGTCCGCAGGCCCATGCTTACGGTGAGTGTCTCTCGCGCTACACGCCTGGAGTGTCTCTCGCGACGGCTGGGGTGTGAGGAGGTTCATTCCATTACGCGCCTCGGGTGCTCCTTAGCTAGCATCACAGCTTTGCAGAAGGAGGAGACAGCGTCCCAGCCCGCTGAGGTCCTCTGGTTCAAGCCCTGGTAGGTACCGAGTATGTGTGAGGGGGTAATTGGTGAGTGTGACAAATAATATACAGTTGTAGGTAAAAATGTTTGTATTTACATATAAAAACCACTACATGTATGATAGTATAAAAGATCGTAATACCATCATTTGACATTGTGACTTAAAAAAACATAGTCATGTTTTATAAAACTTCATTACACTGAATTATAATTCAGTGCGCGGTTTAGATGGAGGTGTTGGTGGTGGTACAGGCTCCCGGTAGTATTTCTGGTAGATGTCTTCCCAGAAGTGTGAGCGTTCTTCTAGTAGTACTCCACGCAGCTCTATCTTCTGATCTAAGGACATATATGGCGACCTGTTGGCACCGGCAGCGGGCCACGCAGGTAATGAAGACCCTTCAGGCACAGGTTTTCTGAAAAAATATTGTATGTAGTGCTGCAAATGAGTAGGCTGTACGACGTCGCGTCGCCGTGTTCGCGCACGCTGCTCATGAGCAAGAGTCCCATTGTGACTTGAAATTAGTACAGCTTTTCTCAATATTGGCGTAAGTAAGTAAAATGTTTAATTAATTTATCTTCAAAACTTAGCATAGTCAAAATTATGTTTCTTAATCAATGTTGGTTTAAAAATAATAATAACTGAAAGGTATATAGTGACAATAGATAATGATAATATTAAATCTAATGTCCTATGGTTTATACAGAAGTATAAAATAAAGAATAAATAAAATCTTACCCAGTTTTAATAAAGTTGTACCAAATTTCACGCATTGTCTTCTTCATTTTCTGAAACTCAGGAGTTGCAAATGACTCATCTGTATGACTTGTATGTGTCAAATTTTTACCATCCAAAATGGCCATCGACTGAGCGCAGTGGTTAGCACCTCGTATGTTAGTGTGTGACACTTCAGGAACATCTTCGTCAACAAATGAGTATTCATACAAATAAATTTGATTGTTGCCCGCCTCCACGTGCAGTTTCGTTGCCCAGAGCATTGAATGTGCAAACATAACATCCGTAAAAAAATTCACGTATTCAACAATATTATCTTCACTGACGGGTTCATCACCAAAATAAAATCTCTTAACTTTATTTGCTACTTCTTCTCTTTCTTCTTCAGATTCAAATCTTAAGTCAGCGGGCAGGAAATCAGAAAATTTGTCATTCATCTTCTGCTTCCACGACGGAAAAAAATTAATACGAAACAATCCTTCCATATTAGCGAAACCATACAACATTGGTAACTTCTTGTATTTGCCGTTCTTTAATATGGTCAATGGAGATTCTGTCAGGAATGTTTCTTCTCCTATATTGCGTTCTACACATGGAGAAAACATTAAAGTAGAATCAGTCCTATCAATAAATGGATCTGACGTCAACAATTCTAAAGGAGCCGTCTTGTAGAACTCTCCAAGAGCATAAATATCATCTACGTTAGTAAAGTTAAGTTGTCTAGCAAATGTTTTGGCAATTTCTACAGGATCTCTTTGAATTGCAAATGCAGCAAGGTTTCCACCACTTTCTGGTACAACTCTGTGAAACAACCCTTCAGTAGATTTAGAGAGCATTAACAAGTCTACTGATGCTGATCCCGCACTATAACCTATGATTGTGACGTCATCGGCGTTACCACCAAAGCTGGCGATATTCTTCTGTACCCAACGCAGCAATGCTACTTGATCCTTCATTCCTGCATTGCCTGGCGCATCTTCAGTACCGAGACAAAGGAAGCCATGGACACCTAGTCGATAGTTGAAGGTGACGACAATAATATCTTTTTTCTTTAATAACTGTGTGGCTTTAAATAATTCCCCCCATCCTGTAATGAAACCTCCTCCGTGAACATACACTACGACAGAAAGATTTTTCTTATTTGTGTTTGGCACATAAACATTAGCAATCAGACAATTTTCTTGTTTCACTAAAGGTAATTCATTTTTTATTTCGAGGTCTTCAAATGGGAGTGCAGGTTGGGGACAAATTACTTGTTTGTCGACGGCTTCATACGCTTCTAACCATACCGGCGGGGGGAGAGGTGCCTGAAAGAAAAGGTCATATTTAAGAAACTCAATAATATATTGCTTTCCTACACGGCAACTACTTAACACAGTACAAACAATTATGTAATGTATTCTGGGTTGACACCAAGATTAACCAGACTAGGCTAGATGCGAACAAAATTAAAGACGACAATTTTATAGTGACCCGGGTTTTGGTAGGAATGAATTCAAATGCTAAAATATAAACAAAAACTGCATACCTTGAACTTATCGACACCGACAGGAGCTGTGGCGTAAGGTATATTGTAAAATGTGTATATATCCTCTGTAGGGTGCTTGCGACCGCGCACAACCCCCTGTGAAGTTTTCACTTCCCGCCATTCGTCGTCCGCCAATATGGCCGTCACACACAACAGTAACACACACGTCTGCCACTGCATGGCTGCGTCTGCTTACTGAATTACTACTGATCGAAATATCTCTAGTGGCTCTATTATATATTAAGTAACTGAATTTTATCTGCATATTACCTAATTAAAGATAACGAACGATTTTTAAAAACTGTTTGCAAATTGTATAAATTGCTGGGTAAATATACATTCTAAGTATGTGACTGGTAATCTTTGCTCTTTTGTCGTTGGGTTCGCTTAGTCTTCGTGTCACTTACTAAAGAAATCAAACACTGTAAAAATGTCGTTAAAAATAATTCATTATATGTAGTTCATAGCTACTTTTCACAATTGTGTATCATAATTTCCCTCGGTATTGAGGAAATAGGATGTATGCCAACACGTTGCTTTAACTTAGAAATGAACAGATTTCAGATATTTTCTTGTATGTGAATGTTAACTTGAGATCTTGAACCGTATAGGTACGTAATGTTACATACGTACATACATAATCGCACGCCTTTCTCCCATGAGGGTACACTAGGCAGGGGCTATGGAACGCCAATTGTCTACGCTGTTGTCACGCCATAACTTGAGAAGGGCTAGACCGATTTAGCTGTTTTTTTTTTGTTGTGTTTGTTATCGTCCGTAGAAGGTTCTTATGACAGAAAAAGGTCCTAAAAATCCTACGGGAGTAGGAGAAAACGGGACTGCGCGTACGAAGTCGCGGGCAGAAGCTAGTAACATATAAAACCTAATTAGTAATAATGAGTTCAGTTCGTTAATTGCTTTAACTCGTCGAGTACCGGTTTTGTAGACACAATTATAGAACAATAGGTTGCGGTCACCGGTGACCGCTTGGTGTTTGACAGTTTAATGTAGGTAATAGGTGTTTAA